TGTGTGTGTTCCTATGTGTGTGTGTGTGTGTTCCTGTGTGTGTGTATGTGTGTTCCAATGTGTGTGTGTGTGTGTTCCTATGTGTGTGTGTGTGTGTTCCTGTGTGTGTGTATGTGTGTTCCAATGTGTGTGTGTGTGTGTTCCTATGTGTGTGTGTGTGTTCCAGCTTACAGACGACCCGGGCCAGTGGAGTGACGTTGAGTCTCTTTGCAGCTTCTGCCGTCATTAACACCAGAGCAGCAGCTCCATCGTTCAGTGTGCTGGCATTGGCTGCCGTCACCGTGCCTGACAAACAAAGAACCAATCAAAACAGAGATGTGATCGTTACTGAGTTTGAAACACTTTTGTCTTTGTATCAGTGAGGTGCGGGCAGGTGAGGCAGGTGAGGCACCTGACATCACGGAAAGAAAAATATATGATGATAAAATAATTTAAATGGTTATATTTATCCAGTGATTTGTGCTATAAAGCATTTATTTTTTGCATTTAGCCTCGACAATTTTGATGATTTTCAAATTCAAAACCGCTGAATTTTCGCAATTTCCCATTCAGATGCTTGGAAGAGGAGGCGGCGAGGCAGCGGAGAGCTCAGCCTCACTTGGATTGCACAATCCCTCACTGCGCCGTCTGGATGCTTGGACGGCGTGCTGCCGTCTGGATGTCGGCAATAACATGTTTCAAACGCATTTAACATATGAACTGATGCTCCATAGTTCAGCTGATGTATATAACAATGTTCAGTGTTTTTGTCACCAACTGTATGTGTGTAACGTGTTCCGTGTGCTGAGTGATCGTAAACGGCTGAGAAGAGGTTCCAGGTGAGGTAGAGTGTAGAGTGCAGATATTTGTAGATCAGACGGTGATGAAGTCAGGGCCTCAGCAGCCATGGACCTCACTGCTTTGTATTCTGTAAACGGGTTTCACTTCAGTGTTGAGGACACACGGTGGGTAACCTCAGCCTACATCTTTCTGGACAATGTGTTGTTTTTCTTTCCTTTTCATTTAATTTATAGTTATTTATTTCTTTGTGCATTCATTAAAAAAACTGCTGAGGATTGAAATAAACTCGACAATACTTTCAGTGAGCGGTGCTCTGTTGACAGGAATACTGGTTCATCCCAATAAACAGCAGAAATCATGCACATTAGATGGAAATAACATCTTCATACACACTGTGTTTTCCTTTAAGTAAATGCAGCAGTAAGTCAGATTTAAAAGAACAAATTAAAACTACGGCTCTGTTTAGTCGACACCGAGCGGCTCCATGTTTCTCATCATAACTACCATTCTCCTTCTGGAACACAGCCTTCAGTTTGGGGACTTTGCTGAAGTCGACTCGCCTCCATTCCTCGTCCTCGGACACGACCACATCAGGCTTTCCTACAAAAATCACAGCAGCATGGGAAGTGAGGGGCTCTGTAAACGACCACGGTCATTCACCCAGACTCTGTGGCTGTCCTGTACCTCTCTGGGGGATGCTGACTGGTACGATCTCTTTGGCCAGCAGGCCTGACTCGTACGCTGCTTTGCTGCGGCTGTATGAAGCGATGGCGTAAGCGTCCTGCTCCTCTCTGGTGATCTCACTGTTCTTGGCTGTGTTCTCTGCGCAGTTGCCCTGTTCAAAGCGGAACCAAGAGCATCAGTATTATGATGCTGGAAGACCCTTTCCATCACCACTGAACACTAGGGGCATAGTTACCATGTGGAACTTGTTGTAGACATCAGTGAGTCCATCTTTGACGATGAGGTCTTCCATCCTCACTCCTCCGTAGCTGGGGGTGTCTCTGCCCATCACATAGGGGACATTGGACATGCTCTCCATGCCTCCGGCCACCATCACATCCTAACGTCACACACAGAGCTACAGTCACCTGCACAGACACTTCCAAGTCCTACAATGTGTGTAGCTCCTGTAGACAGCGAGGCACAGCTGATCATAAACAAAGCTTGTTTTGGTCACAACAATCTTGCATCATCCTATCTGCTACCACGTTCCCGCTGGATATACAACATGTGAAGAGAACGCCACCTGGTGTCCACACATTAGACTCTGGGCTGCCATCATGATGGACTTCATTCCAGATGCACAGACTTTGTTGATGGTTGTTGCTGGAGTGCCAAGAGTCAAACCTGGAGAGCGAACCAGAGACATCAGAACATTTGCAAAAATAAATGAATTCAGTTGACGCATCTTTTAACTTAATGTTTGAAGTGCATCTGACGCTGGGGCCAATCATGTGTTGTTGATTCATCTCTGACCTTTAAAAAACGGTTGAGAAAATGGGAATAGTTGTCATTGGCTGAAAGACGCTTTACCAAGACAGCACAGGACAGAAACAAATCTCTGTTTGAGTGTGGTGCCAGCATGAACACACCTGCTCCGAGCAGGGCCTGCCTCGTAGGAGCTTGTCCTTCTCCTGCCTGCAGCACGTTGCCCATGTAGACCTCCTTCACCTCTTCAGGAGTGATTCCTACAGACAAGAAAGTCAACTCAGTGCCACCTCTGTTTCATGCAGCAATCCCTCCACTCATGAAAAAATGGGAAAACTCCTTAAAGTCTTCAATACAGGAAACAGGGCTAACCAATTAGCTCTTTCCAGAGCAGACACTGATTATCATTAATTACACAGATCAATATATTTAGAAGCGAACATTAAAAACTACAATCCTGGTGTGAAAATTTAGAACAACACAAACTGCAACTCAACTTCATGCATGTTTCATCATGAAAGAACTTCAACACGTATCCTTCAGTGTAGCTGGGCTATTACTTGTGATGTACAACCAATCAGAGTGCTGTGACTACAGCAGTGAGCTGCATCAGGGCCGATGGAGATCAGCTAATCTGCTAAGCCAACATTTGGTCAACCTCAAGAGAAAACACTGTCTGTGTCTGAACATACCTGCTTGGTCTACAGCTCCCTTTATGGCAATGGAGCCCAGTTTGGTGGCTGGAACTGCTGCCAGGCTGCCTCTGAAGGAGCCCATTGGAGTGCGGACTGCGCTGACAATGACGACTTCCTGAAACCACAAATGAAAACTCTGCACATCAGTGTGGGCTCCAAACATCTGATTGTGATGATGAAGAGATCAGCTGGAGCACTTACATTGAGTGAAGGACGAGATGTGTAGGTTCTTGAGAGGTACTTGTGAGCCTGCAGAGGCAGGATAAGAGTTAGATGTCATGATTCCAACAGATTTCATAATTACACAGAGTGCCTGTATCTACAGTCATGGAAAAATCATCAGACCACCTGGTTCTCTTCAATGTCTTGGTCTCTGGTACCACTAAAGGTCCATTTGGACACATATACTGACAACAACAAAACCAGCTGATCAGAGTTTATCTTCAGAGCTGGTATCAGACATGTTCCAGGGTTTCTTGGTTCTAAGTTCTTCCACTAGCAGCTATGGCATTGTGCTGCCAGAACCAGAGCTGTTAGACGGTCCATGGTTCCTGTTCTGTCTGTTTCAGTCACATGATGCACAGGAGTTAGTACCTGATGGCAGAACCATAGTTTGTGATGACTGCAGCCATGCGTCTCGGCTGCTCTCCACCAGGTTCTGACATGGTTCTGCTGCCACAGCAGCCCGTTCCTGCTGCTCACATTCACACGAACGTGCTTTGTTTGTGGGCTTGTGCTTCTCCATTTAGCCTTTGATGGTTTCCACAGGTTTTCAGCTGGATGTAGATCTGGTGACTGAGCGGGCCAAGGCATGGTTCCAGTGTTCTGGTTCTCCATCCAGGCTTTAGCTGACCTC